TTTTTTTCCCATGAGGGCGATTGAATCTATAAAATCAATCCACCTAATAGGATTTTTTGTCCAAGGTGTAAGGTAGTTTTTTTGTATCATAGATACTATAGATACATAGACTAAACTATCATACAACTGTTGTATGATTGTCGGTTGTTTTGCAATTCAACTGTTTAGTTGCACAACTAAAAATCGAGTAGTATGCGCATCTCCATATAAGCTCATAGGAATCAAAACGAGATTAAACAGTCGTGCGATAGTTTACTCCAAGTTAGTGCCGCTCTATGAACTAGGTACTAAAGACTTAAATTTAATTGCGTCGGGAATTTTAAATACCGTAGTATTCAATTAGATAATCTTTTTATTTTAAATTTACTTTTCTTTTTCTTTATTTTCACAATCATTTGTGGTACAAATAGCATTTCCGTTGTCTAAACAAAAGCAAACATTGCAATCTAATTTATATGAACCTCCTTTAGGACATGGGTCAGGATATTTCGGTAATACGGGCACTAAATCCACGATAATAGGAGCTGGTTTTACACAATTATGTGTGGTACATTTCCATAGTTTACCATTAGCAGCACAATGACAAATATTACAATTATTTGTGTAAATGTGTAACGGTTGACAATAACCGTACAATAATTCCAAGCTATGTGTATGCACTTCCTTATCTCCACGTATTCTTGAACATCTTGTATCGACTACACATGTCTCCCTTTTAACTTCTAAGATATCGCAACGACATATCAAACAGTTCCTTTCATATATCGTACCTTCAACACAATCGGTGACAACTAAATCTATCTTCGGTTTAGGATTGCATTGTTTGATTGTACAACTAAATGCGGTTACGCCGTTTTGTTTCTCACAATAACAGACATCGCAGTCTCTGTTATATTTAGTACCAGGTTCACATTCGTAGTCATCTATAGGTGTTACACTCGACTCGAATGAACTCAACTGTATTGGTTTGATAGGAAACCGTTTGAGACATTGCCTAGTTGTGCAATAAATAGATGAATTCTCATCACAGAAACAAAGATTGCATTCCACGTAAAATATTTGACCGACGTCGTAGTTTTCACAAATCGTTTCGTTACTGTTTGTGGTGTTTGCTTTGCTCTTCTCCACAGATGTACAATTGTCACAGAGTAGTCTATTATTACGTAAACACGTACAAGTTTGGCAGCCCAGTGAATATAACATGGTTGTATTACAAGTGGCATAGACTTCTATATCTTCTTTAGGCTCTGGTTTCACTTCTGTTATTGTAGTTGCGTTTAAAACGGGATCTTCATTGGAGCATGTTAGTTTTGTACAGAATTCTAAATTCAAAAGTCCAGTTGACGGACAGAAGCAAACATTGCAGCTAACTAGATATAATTTCGTTGGTTCGCATTTCTGTGTCACTTCAATACCTCGGGTTACTTCAACTGAGTGTAATATTCTGAAGATATCTCTACAGACTGGGTTAGGCCAGTATCCATCCTCGTTGCAGACGCAAAGAACAGAACCACGTCGGTAATAAACGCCTGGTATGCAAGCTGATTCGGTTGACCGCCAGCTACCTTTGCCTTCCATTCCAACGTTGATTTCTTTTATTGCATCTATCAAGAGAAAATAGTTAAATTAGTAATTTAAACAGTTAAGGAGCCTTCAAGGAGAGTGTATTCTCTCCTTAAAAACTAGGAACATATCTGCGGTTTCCCTGACGTTGCGGATGTCCAATGATATCGGCTTCTATAAAAAAATAAAATCTGGCTTGCCATCTATGGGCCAGTGATATAAAAAAAACTAGAAGAAAGCAATCGCTTCTATCCTTGATTGTCTTGTACTTTCCATGTTTCTTCGAATAGGAAAGACAGTTTGTACTGACCGTTGAAGTGTCCAAACATATCTACTTGTCCGCACACGCGGGCACTACATCTGTACTGATATGTCGCGTCACACCAACACCAGTTGCAGTCATTGAGTACATGAGAATTCTTCTTGCAGCGCTCATGCCAGAGTGTTGCGGCCACCGCTAATTAAAAAAAAGGCAATATAGTAGTAAGTCACTTAACACTTTAAATGCTACGGACTGTTGAGTTAATATTAAATGTATTAGGATGGTTTAATAGTGGTGATAAGGTAAGTGGTCATAAGAGCGTCATGAGGCCCGCCGTCTACAACCTGCCGGACCACGTCACAGCGGCTACCAGCCTCGCATCATTTAAAAATAAACTTAAGTCATGGCTAATACAAAAAGTCTTCTATAATGTCGAAGAATTTTTCCTACCATGATTTACGTATACTATTTGTATTCAGAATATCTGTAAAGTTTTTATTTTTTTATCATTATGACTTGTAATTCGCTTACCAATAAAAAGTTGTATTTGTTTTTGTATGTTTGCCTTTTTGTATCAAATAAGTTATAGATTATCTGTATGTTTTATATTTTTTTACGATATAATAACATTCTTGTGCAATATGGTCATTTCATTAAATAGTGACAGCGGCGTTAAATAACGATTTGGTACGAAAAGTGTATTTTCTCTAGTAAATAATTTCTCTCTCTATAAAGATCAAGTCATCCCCAGCAGCAGCAGTAGCCCCTTGGATGTGAGTCTAAGTAGTAACAAAGAAAGTTTGTTTGTTTAGTAACAAAAAATCTTACGAAATCTACTTACGTTGTTCATATTGTGCTGTAATTACATAAGAGAAGGTATGTAGATATACAATCAAACTAAAAAAACACATTTCACGAAACAACAAAATCGATTTTGTTCGAAATTTAAACCGAAATGAAAGAACAAGTTAAATCGATTTTAATTAATTCTCATCAATCGCTAATTAATTACGTCGCAGTAAAATAATCAAAGTTAATAACAGTTTTATTACCTTCATATTTGTGAATGGCACAAATGAAAACACATGAGTGTCGTATAACACACTTTTATGATTAAAAAAAAAAATGGGACCCATCTGCAAGCATTACCTTTTGGATATAAAAAGAATTATCAATATCGGTCCACTAGTGGCGGAGTTATGCCGTAACACACATAAAAAAATAAAAAAAAACAGATATACAGACGAATAGAGTACCTCCTTCTTTTGGGAAGTCGGTCAAAAAGACGAAGCATATTTGTAAAAAAAATCCTTAGCTTTTTTGACACGTTCAACTAAGATCACTCGAAATTTTTGTGCACATCGTGAAAACTTTATAGGACAGACTACGTACTTATCTTTGTTTGATGGTTCGAAGTTTTCTTAGGTATCGAGTCCATCAAAGATAGTTAGAAATTTCTAGTCGAGGTTATTAAAATGTACATAAATAGTTGGCATTTGTAAAATTTATGGTATCAGGTTCAATTACAATACAAATGGTAATATTAATACAAATGGTCAGTAAGTTGTGAAGATGGATTTTTCGACCTGTCCCACCACTGGCTGATAGAGGATCAGATAGCTTAAAAATGACGTCACTATCCGATCCGAATCCGATATTTTCATCACACATTTTACACGCTGGATTGTTCATAATCATTATCATCTCTCCTGCCTTATCGTACTCCCGTACGGTCGGCGCACCGGGTTTTCGTCCTCCAAATAACTCTATCATTCGTCATCTCAGTCATCACTCCCTTCTGATTCACACGTTGGATTGTTATCAGACAGTTTACAATTTCGTGGGACAGCCCTTAAACAAAAAAGAAAGTAAAACACGTAAACAATTTTAAAATCCTCTGATATATTAATTTATTTTCCTATACTCTGAAACGGTCAACAAGTAATACATAAATTAAAAAAAATGGTTTAAATAATATTTATTAGATACAGATTTTTCAACATAATTTCTTTGTACATAGTAAATTTCCATTTCTCATACAGTAGCACATGTTGCAATCTTTAGCTATTTCCGAGCCAGGCTTGCAGGCACTTTTCGATACTAACGAGACCGCTCTCCTAGTCGGTGCTTTCCGAAGACCCAAGAATTTCTTAAATATATCTGATAAATTAAATTCTCGATAATAAGTCTCTTCCGACTTCTTTCCTTGATTTCTCAAACCAATATTCGAAGAAACTATTATTTTATTCTCAATTTTATTACTCTTAGGTTTCTTTCCTTTCTCTTTTACTGGAATTTCATCTGGGATTTCTTCGCTTTTTGGCTTGTGAATATTTACACGTTCACCGGACACGATCCTATCGAGCTCAGGCATTCTTGTTCCAGTATAAACATTGCTGACATCAGTATCCTCTCCGGATTCAATGGAATTAGATCCTGAACTTCTATCTACATACATCCTCTGTGCATTTATTGTTTCCTCGTTTGGTACGTATTCAGGAGGGACAGGTGCGGGAGCATATTTTATTTCAAGCGTATTGTTAGGTTCAAATCTTTTAGCACCTAATCTTAATGATTCACCATTGAATGGTATTAAATCAATAGTGTCCTTCAAGAACATATCACCGCAGACAGAGAATTTGTATTTACCTAGTGTGAGTTTATCTAAATGTTTGTTAGATGGATTGCAGACTAGTTTATTTTCAGCAACGCAATAACATAGTTGACAAGGTGCGAATGAATACCATGTCTTAGCGCTACATTTGCCTGGAATCGATTCTATCGATTTGCGACTTTTGTTCAATATGTTACCACTTTCGCATGTATGTCGTGTACATCTTTTATAGTTAATTTCACCTCCTTCGTTACATTTACAAATATTGCAATGGACGGTCACGTAGGAGTCTTCCTTGCATTTGTTTTTGAATACTGTATCATTGTAAAATTGTTCAAAGAGATCGGAACAATTGGTATTAGGCCAGTGTCCAGTTTTCGTACACACACAAGATTCTAAACCATTCACATATGTGATGTTAGGTTGACACGATAAGGTTTTCATATCCAAGTTATTTATTTTCAAAACTGGATCATCTAAAATCAAGATTAAATTATTTAATAAGTCTATTTAGAGCATGCGCACACCTTTGATTAAACTATCACACTGTTTAGTCTCGCTTTGATTCTTATAAGCTTATATTGAGCGCATACTACTCGATTTTTAGTTGTGCAACTAAACAGTTGGGGCTGCGAAACTATAGACAATCGCACAACAGTTGTGCGATAGTTTAGTCATAGGTGTTCGCCCGTACTTAAAGTTAAAATACAGATAATAAATAGAACATAACCTGTATTATTTCTAGAAAAAACATCGTTTATCAATGTTGCAGCAATAAATACACTGTTTAACAACCACATGGTTGACGTTATTGATTGAAAAATTATAATAAAGCCTCTAAATTTGATTTGAACACATGATTGCTTTAATCAAATGAATATAAAAATTAACGACGCGAAAATACCAAAATAGTTAATTGACCATAAACCTGAAAACTTAGAAAACAATATATTTTTATTTACTTTTACTCGTTGGTTTTTTCTTTAGGTTCATTCCTTATTTCAATTTTAAGTTAGTTTGGTGAACTCTGAATTTGTTGATCAATCTTTCGACCTGCCAAATATATAGCTAAATAAACATTTCATATAATATGATCTTTTGGTACTCTCGAACACATATTACGGATTATCCTTCCACTACAGCAAAATAGTACTGTTTTTATAGTATATAACAGCAGGAAGCATAAAGTATCTGTCGCGTCGATTTTGATCAAAAGAGATCGAAGCTAACATAAATCTTAGGGCCAGTCCCACCACATTGTAAATTGTCAGATAACAATCCAATGTGTAAAACGTGATGGAAATATCGGATTTTGTTACCTAATCTGACAGTGACGTCATTTTTAAGCTACGAGCCTTTATCAGCCAGTGGTCGGACAAACCCTTGTCATCATAAAACTTTTGTCAATGTTTTGGAAAAAAAAACTGTAAACATCAATGAGCATGTTTTTCTCGTTTATTTACTTTTAAACAGATAAACACAAACAATTTTATCCTTTCTAATTGTATTAAAGGCCATGTTTTTGAAGATAGGAGCGTAGGTTCTTCAGTTTAAGAGCCTGACGGTAATTGAGGCATGACTTCTGTGTGCAGCGCAGCGTCAGGTCCGGTTGACAGTAACAGTGATTGCAATCAGTTCTAAAACAAACATATAAAAAAATAAAAACCAACTGCACCCGTAAGATCAGTACTATGACAAACAAACATAAGTTCTGATTCATAGCTACTTTTTGATTTTTTTATATTACAAGGTGGATACAAGCAACACCTAAAACCGCCGAAAAGACGAGCGACCGCAACCCATAGACATTCGCAATTACAAATGTGTTGTCTACCACAATCGACGAAGAAGACGCACATAAAGAGGGTATTTCGTCTACCTATCCACCTCCACCGTCAATTCCACTTTTCTTTCCAATTAAGAAAAGGGTGGAAAAGGAAGGGGACTAAAATTAGGCGTCCTGTACCATACTCATCAGACTGTACGCGGAATTACTTCCACTTCACGCCTGTCTTCTGTGTGGCCGTGGTATTGCACCGGGCGAGCCGATTCGTGCGAAGATATCTTCAATATTAAAGCGGGCTCTACCACTGTTATTGATTGACAAAGAACTTACTTATAGACAGCTCCTGGTTTGCATTTTTCCTTCTTAACATCAAGATTGAGTCGAATTTTAGTGTTGCCATGTAACTTCATAATTGCCGGCATCGCACAACCCGGCACTGCTCGACATTGCGTGATGTTGTTTGAACAATCGCAACGGATGCAGCGGTCGGAGACGATGTCGTCTGCATTTTGACATTTAACACCTATGATAAACAGAAGAGTATTAGAAAGCAATATTACGTGTAACGAAATAAAGTAGATTTTAAAGAATTTGGTATGTTCTTTAATATGAACTTCACATTAGCTAACTTTAGTAACACTTTGCTAAATTATGACCGGTTTCCCAATACATTTATCGTTTCGTAATTGTTTTTGATTCAATAACTTCATGAAATGTGTTTGCGAACTACGTAACTTGAGTTATACTCAATTGAAACTTCATACAACCTAACACTGAGCGGGCGCACACCTTTGACTAAACTATCGCACAACTGTTTTGCGATTAGTTGTACAACTAAATTGAGTAGTGTTGTAGTAGGAGTAGTGTGCGCACCTCCATATAAGCTTGCTGAAAACGAAGCGCGACTAAACACTTGTGCGATAGTTTAAACTGATAATCATGAAATAAATGGAAACTTCAGCAACCCGTAATTCGATATTTTCCTGGTCGAAAACATTAATTTTGAGACACCTGTCTTTTATGAAAATGACCAAACCTGACCACTTTTTCGCTTTAACAGCATTCTCCTCATCTTTATTGAGACATAGTAACGTCTCACACAAGAGATTCCCGTTGTCTAAACAGAGGCAAGTGTTGCAGTCTATCAGGTACATCTTGCCAGGTTGACATTTTACTGCAGAATGTGGTAAGATTGGCAGCTGCCAGAAATCCTTGTTTGTGATTGGTGGGCTCACATCAGCTGGCGTGGAGATATCCTTTACTGAAAATCATATACTTGTTCTATAACTAATCGATCTTTTCTTTATTCATTTTTCCTTTGTTATAAAACTAGCTTATAAACCATACAATATCTATATTAGTAAGATATCTTCACCCTCAAAAACCCTAAGGCACTTAACCTGATTTTATTTTTATTTATTTTTCTTCCTCACTTTTGTTATACTATAAGTATGGCAAAGTAAAGTGGATTGGACGGTGGAGAAGATGAATAGGAAGGGGAAATGTCTTCTTAAGTGCGTCTCCCTATCCGTTGATTAAGGGTAGGCAACGCATCTGCATTTGCAGATGTGTATGAGCTACGATCACTTCGCTTTGTCGGTGAATTCAGGTTCAATATTTAAGAAAAAACTTCAAGTAAAAATTACGATTCAATAACTTACTCTTTAGTGGTTCTTTACATTTTGTAGGCTTTGAAGGATTACATACAGTTTTTCCTGAATGATTACAATAGCATTTTTGGCATTCTTTACTATACAGTTTTCCCGGAACACAACGTCCTTCGGGTAAATTGGGTAAATAAATTTTATCTTTCTCTTTGTCTCCGGATCTCAATTCTCCTTGAGGGCTCCGTTTGTTTATCAAACTGAATCGTTTGATGTCTTCGTGTTCCAAACAAGCCATTTTAGTGCAGTAGAGCGCGTTGTTGTCGGCGCAGTGACAAGTGTTGCAAGATATTTTGTACATTTTACCCTTAACGCATGGATCCCCTTCTTTCATAGTCAAATATTCCGGTTGAGTATTTGATACGTTTGCTAAATTGAATTTAAATGCTACATTAGTACATCATTTGGCAGGAAATGGAATACTTAAAATGGGTGTTTTCTCTTTGTATTTTTTTTGTGCATGGAATGGAAGAAGTGGATTTAACTGGTGAGGAGATGCATAAATAGAGAAACCATCCTCTTTCTGGGCGTCCCGACCTCTGTTCTTTAAATCTACGCAACTCATCTACAAATGCGGTTGTCTATCATGTCATCATTGGGGTACATTCAGTGTTTTTTATAAAACTAAAAATGTTGAAATAAACCTTTCTAAATACTTACACAGGTAACATTGTACTGTAGAAAGCCAGCAAAAAATATACAATACGCATTTAAGAATCATTTTCTAATAAACTTCCAAGAACTCGATTCAAGTCTTAATTAATTACGCATAGAAACTGATGTAGTAAAAACGCGATAAATTTTACTGCTTGGATTTAACTATAATAGGATTTATTAGCGTTTTAAGCAATCTCTATTTAGGAAAGTATGTACAATCGGAGCATCTGGCAATCTGCCACTACAAAAGTATTTTGTACGTATGTACACAAATGCTACCTTATTAGGTATTTTTTCAGAGGTTGGTAAGGTATTTTTTCGGAAAGTGGTACACCGTGCATTTTCACGACTGTACTCGCAGACTATTCTTAGTCTATTTCGAAATGTCTTTAAGGTTATTTAAATAAAACACAAAATAAAATTCGAACTCGTTTATTCGTTTCGTGACAATTCTAAAACAAAATAATTTTATTTACGTATTTTTTGAGACGTTAATAGTACGGCGCGTAAAAAATAACTTCACGAAGTTTTGAAATAATAATAAAATGTAGTGTTTTATTTATTCAAATTAAAATTTCACTTTTTTTTAAAGTAATATACACCCTCTAATCAAAAATTGTGTTCTTTGTTCATTTTTTCAAGAAAAGTTATAAAGATGAATCTTTCCATTGCCGTATATAAAATTGCAAAATCTTTTTTTTCGGTAATTTTGATATGACAGAGCGCACTTTTGCCTTTTTAAAATGTCTATGGTATGCTAATAACTAAAATTATTAAACTAAATAAAATAATTAAGAAAAATTGAAGTCACTAATAGATAAGACAACCAACTTTGTTTTATTTAATTTGTTAATATAATTGAAGCAAAGGGTTTTAAAATAATTTTTATTTTCTGTGAGCGCGGCTGTGCCATCGCCGAGGTCATTTCTAAAGACCGTTTTTACTCTATTTTTTTAATTTAAATAAGCTAGAAAAGCAAAAATCTTATTTTTTATTATTTTATAGATAATTTATTTTCATGTACTTTAAGTTACATTAATACAGTTTTTATTACTATTACATTACAAAGTTTATAATAAAATTGTAATCTATTAAATAATAAAATAAATCGAATATGTGTAAGATATCTTTAGATATTTTTATAGATAAAATAGAAATTATTTTTAATGACAATAAAAAAATAAAGAACATATAAATAAAATACTTTTAATGCTGTCAACACTGAAGTACACTTGGAGACACGAAAATAGACCCCGCAAGGATTTAAATTTTTGTTATTTATTTTTCTATTTATAATTTTCTAAAAAAAGCCACTAAGCTCATTTTACAACATGTTTTATTAAATTCTTATTAATTAAATCAATATGAGAAATTTTACTTATGTATTTCACTGGTTAAATGACATTTATTGAGTTGACACGTGAATCGCAAGAGTAAACTTATACTCAACGTGCCAACTCAAATGCTGGCTAATTTTCGTTTCCCAAAGTATACAATTATAACGTAAATGGTGAAAGAATAGAGGTAAGTCGTATTTTTTGCACGAACAAATCAAATGCAACTGAGTAAAAAATCCATCCGGCGGAAAAATTGAATCTCAAGATAGAACTGTTTTCGTATGGATGGAAAAAGTGTTTTATTACCACGTGTTAAGGTTACATTTGCGGTGCGGTCAGTATGAAGTTAGTTTAGTTCAGGGCGTGTACACGGAGCAGTAACGTAGAGTGCAGAATATGCTCTTCCCGTCAGCGGAGCAAGTACAGTCGTTACACTCCCTCTTGAACTGTTCCCCCGGGTTGCAGCGGAAATTCGGATCTGTTTCTGTAATTAAAAGGTTTCCCATCTGTTTAGTAACCTCTGACTTTTTTTTGACCTCATGTCTTTTATATATGAGCAGTGACATCTGTATTGATATTATAAAGAGGATAGGAAGAGGACGATGTTCTTTTGTATCTAACGGATAAACTCAAAAACTACGAGACAACTATATCATCACTAATAGGCTATACTTATTACTTAATTTCTTTTAACTGTCGAAATTGTTAGGCAAAGATGTCGGCAATCATTTTGAAAGTAGTTGCTTTTGTAGATGCTATCAATAAATCTGGTTAAAAAAAATTTTTCAAAAAAATTTGTGTTTCCTTTCTTATCAGAAAGAAAGTACTTAATTTTTTTCCGATTTTCCGAACCCATAAATCCATTTTCTCATTCCCTTTCTTTTCTTTAAAATTGGAACACTAGTCTTGTTTTACCACTCACCGGGTGCGTGCACTCCGTCGTTAGTTTTGCGTTGTTCGCAGTCCTGCGTAGTGCACGTCGCGCGCTGTCCGTCCGCGCCGCAAAGACATATGTTACACGAGCGCTGGAACGCCGTGCCCGCTGTACAGTTCGTGGTAATCTCCTCTGTTGCGTCTATATTCAGTAAAATATGTTTGCAACACTATAGAAATCGATTATAATTACACTATGCAATAGTTTTACCTGACAAACTCATAATGGTGATATTTTTTACCCTACAAGAAAGACGGCGCAGTATTTACAATATGACCCGTCATTTCTAATTGTGTAGCTTTAATTTCACACTTTCTATATTATTATACTAGTTGTTCCCGTGCGGCTTCATCCGCATGAACTTATAAAAACTTTTTTTATTGCTTACATTTGTGAAATGTCAAAATTCAAATGCATATATGGTTCCTTGATGTTGGTAACTGGTAGCTTATGGTCTCTTTTATTTACTCTACTACTCAATTTATTTACCCCTAAGTTAAAAAACGTAAAAATATATAGCCTAAAGTGTAGGGCTTTTTATTCATAAATATGCTGTAATTACTGACATCTTACGGCAAAAAAAACTGTGTTTTCGCTATGTTATATTAGTATAGAGTATAGATTTGTCAAAATTATTATGAACTGCTGTAACCTTAAATGTTTCTAAATGATCCCGGTTCAAATAACAAATTATTTTAATGAATCTTGAAACTGACCTCGTTTAGTTCTAACACCGCCGTTATTGTTGTTATTGAGCATGGCGCAGTCGATGCGCGTGCAAGAGAAGTCGTGGCCCTCGTTGTTGCAGAGGCACTTGTTGCAGTCGATACGGAACTCCTGTCCCGGCTGGCACGCCTTGGGCGGCTCCTACTGGATACAGTGCGCGTTGTATACACTAACATATATTTACTCTTAACAACTAATGCCAGCCAGTAAGGCGGTTGAGCAACCGCCCATGGAGGTAGAAATGGGCGCCACAGGTCTGTTACTCTCGCATAACACTTTTACACCCCTAGGCATGGTTAATAAGAAGAATCTGTCAAAATCTCGCCCATGGCTCTAGTAGAGCTGCAACCAGATAATTGTAACATATATTTTGATGAGTATGCAAGAGATTTTTGTTGTTGTTCGACAAATGTTCGACGCCCGTAGTCGAAATAAGTGGAGAAACGATCTCGTAATATGGCAATGTCAAACACTTGTTTACTCCGTAGTTTTCAGGGACGCAAATATTACGGCGACGTACAAAAAAATTAAAACAGAACAAAAAATAAAAATTTAAAAAGCAAACATTACCTGTGTAGGCACGGCGCGTCGCTTTCTTAACGATACCTTATCTTTTCTTTCTGCAAAACTGTCACCTTTCTGTAATAGAATATAGAAAACTGTAACAAATACAATTTTAAACAATATAGACTTAAAACACGGGAACCTAGAACGTGATTTCACTAAAAAACCCATCACCATAAAGCGTAAAAAGCACTATCGAGAATTTTTGTAACTAGCTTTTATAGGCGTTGAATTAATTCAGAAAAAAAAAACTAGTAATTAGACTATGTTTTCTTCTAGACTATGTTCTACATATGTGCTAAATTTCATCTATATAAAACTGTTTAGGACAGACATAGTAACAAACGTCCATTCATCCTATCGCATTTATATATTAGTATGATTGCAGTAACCCAAAATCCCATCTGATATTGTATAGTCGTTTTATAGAAACCAAATACCACCACCGTGAACCAGTACATCCCTAACCTGTACATCATCATCAGGGTAACACGCTCGTCTAGTACAAGAATAAGATTGTCCATCAGCATTGCAGCGGCACATGTTGCAGTCCATCTCAAATACTTCATCCGGACGACACTTCTGTTTTATTACGCGCGCGTTCTGTATTAGTGTATAAAACTATTTAATTTTCACTACAAAAACAATTAATATTTGGACATGTACAATTTTTGTGTCCTTAAGTGTACATTGCAATGACAGATGTCAAAATAAACCCGCCATTTTTGAATGTATAACCTCAAAATCGTAAATTATAGATATACCTCTGATAATTCCTCGGTATTTTCGTCCGGTACTTCCAAAACGCAAACTTTCCTCGTGCAGAAGTAACTGGTTCCATCCTCATTGCACCAACACGTGTTGCAGTCTTTTATGAACATTCTATTAGCTGAACAAATGACCGCTTTTGTGCTGTTCTCTTTCTTTGCATCTGATCTTAACACCTGGAATAGCAAAAAATCTACATAATTATTGTTAAATTGTGTTTAAAAAAAACCACAACATATAAATCTGGATGAAAAGAAAAAAGCAGCGTTTTTAATTAAAAACAGCAATGTATTATTGAAAATTTTATTTAATACTTTAATAGTTGTTTATAATGGGTTTTATTTAATATTGTGCATATCTTCGTTATTGCCGATTCAAATGATTACATTGTTCATATTGACTTTAAATGTTTATGGTACTATCGGCTTCATGTCCTGAAACAAAATAAATGGAAGTATTAAAAAAAATACTCGAACTTTTACATAATAACATCGGTCATTGACTATTTATGCTATTTTTTAAATTAAGATTATTTATAGTCAATATTTTTATCGAATAAACTTTGGCTGAAAACATCATTGACCTTTGCCTTAAAAAAAACAATTGACAAAAGCGCGCGGTTTTACGAATGACGTATCATACCTTGAGTTCGTGGAATATTTCAACGTCTTTAGGTAAAGGGCAAGGTTTATTGGTACAGCTGAAGTCAGAGCCATCGAAGTTGCAGTGACACGTGTTGCACCCGATGTGGAAAATGACGCGCGGCTTGCAGACAACTTCAGAGTGCTTCTCTATGTGATCTACGCCCTTAAAAAACACGTAAGTACTCACAAATATTAAAATGAAAAGGTTAAGTTTAGTTTTAATTTTAACTAAATTTATTTAGATTTTGTTTTGTTTTGTTTAGATTAACTTTTGTTTGAATTGTGTTGCGTTTAATATCTCGGCTTAATATTTTCAAAATGGCGGCCATGTAAATTATTACAATGAACTGTCGAAAATTAAAGGTTATACATTAAAAATAATATTTACCTCGTCCTTCATGAACACTTCGACATCCTTGTTTATTACTTCATCATCTTGCTCCATACATTCGTTCCTAGTGCAAGAGAAACTTTGCCCATCCGCAGCGCATTTGCAAGGATTGCAATCCATTTGGAACTCTGAATTCGGTTTGCACACAGACCTCTTTAGGTTGCGGGAATTGTCAATTAATATGTACTCTATTTCGTAATCCTGAAGATATAAATGTTAAAGTTGTGACTAATTAATATAAATATCGGCTTCCACTATCGAAGTACAGTAGGCTGCACAAATCTATACTTCTATACTATTATAATAGAGCGTAAACACGCACTTCTTTGTTGCCTAAGATGTCAGCAATTACAACATATTTTTAAATATCTCTTTTTTTTATAAAAAAAAACCCTACACTTGCGTCACGAGAGCGTGAGAGCCTAGAGCGGCTATGTATTTTAACGCAATTAAACTTAGGGGGTAAATATTTTGGATAAATAAATGTGGGAAAGAGATCATAAGTCGCTGCCAACATCAAGGAAGCAAGATGTTCATCATGTCATGTCATTTTGACATTTGTATCAATTACAAATGTCAATAATAATTTGACAAATGTAAACAATAAAATAAAGTTTTTATAATTTCATGCGGATGAAGCCGCACGAAAACAGCTAGTATGTGTATATTTACAAACTTTCAGAAACTTATATACGGCGTTTGTATGGTCCCAATAGTGATGAGTTTTGTGAATTTTACTAATGTCATAAGTGCGAAAGTTTAGATGGATGGATGTTTGTAGCCTTAACTGCTAAACAGATCTCGATCAAAATTAGCAAAGCCGTAGAGGATATGTTATAATTCCCCGCAGACGGAATTGCGGGCGAAAGCTGTAACATGTTTAGGCAGCTGACTGTACATGTAAATAAATTGCTATCTCTGTTTATAAGAAAGTATGAAAGAGACAACCATATGTTTTCGTACATCATTCAGCAATTAAGATAGACAAGGAAAGCATTATAACAGACCGCAACGTCTTGATACTTGTTGGTTTATGTAATTTTCAATATAGTTAGGGTTGTAATTTTTAATTACGGTACGTCTCCCATGTTGTTTAATAAAAGCAATTTTAGTCACATAAAAGCACAAAAGCATATGTTTTACTTACCATAAATTGTTTAAATTGGTGCAACCGGTGTATTGTGATTTAAACACTTACACGAGAATGGAATATTTATTTTTATTATTTAGTATTGATCAAAATGAATTCATGATTTCATGTCACTACGACAAATGTCTTCCACCAAATTATTTGCTTTTTAGGAACTAGTGCAGCATGTTTAAATAAAAAAAATTACGGCTATTACTCGTATCTATTTTTCTCTGCTAACTCTACTAATAATAATTTATAAATTACTCAAAACGCAGCAAGTGGTTATGGATTGGGCATGCGTTCGCCGGGATCTCAGTCATATTCCCAGGGAGGCCCTGGAGTGGATCCCACAAGGAACAAGAAAGCGTGGCCGCCCTAAACAAACTTGCCCGCGATCAGTGGCGGCCGACCTTAAGGCAATCGGGCTGTCATGGTCCGAGACAAAACGTAGAGCCCAGGATAGAGCGAGCTGGCGGCGTTATGTGGACGCCCTCTGCCCCACTTTGGGGACATATGACAAGAAAATAGTAAAGTAAAAAAACTCTACTCATGCTAAACAACCCCAGTAACACTCGCCACGACGTAGGACCCCAGAAGAATCAGAAACTGGTCAGTGCCGCCATCAAAAAAATAGACGTGAGTAATAGCCGTAAAATAATTAATTACAAAAATGTCTCATGAAAGTTAAAATAATTTAATATTTAAATTATGTTTGTAGTTCGAATGTTGAAACAGGGACCGATACATTTGCTTTGAAATGAATATGAACAATTAATACTTGTCTGCAGAAGATTTGCCGATCACACCCACAGTACTGACTGCTGTACTCTGCCCAACCTTAGCCAGGGAAAACTTCCACTTACGAGTAATACAGAAACTTTGCACTTACGTTTGTTTCGATTGGTTCTGGTGTGGTATCTTCGTTGAAATTTATAGCTAAAATGAAAAAAAACACAAACATCTATTTAAAACAATAAGATTATCGCAGAATGGGGATTAAGAATTTTCCTCGCAGTATAAATGTAACTTCAATTATTATTCGGAAGTTAAAATACTTGGAGAATTTATTCACATACTTGTATTAATACTATTGTCATCTATCTCATACTCTTTGATAAAATGGAAACACAAAGAATACACAAGCCAGATAAACAGAGTAGTAGTTGGCATGCCAGTATCGAGGATAAGCAAGCTACTGGCGACATGCGAAGTGTCAATGTTAACCTTCGTATTCACCTGAAGAATATGCTTAATAAGGAAGAGGATTCAGATAGAAATGTATGGAAGAGCAACACAAACTGTGCTGACCCTCTGTAGGGATAAAGGCAAGTAGATGATGAGACCTCAATTTACAAACTTGAAGCTATCACAAAATCAAATGTTAGCTGCTTACCAGCTTGCATACAAAAGTGCCAAGCTGGCAATTGTTTTCTCGCTATACAAGTATCACTGCCGTAGAAATAATTTGGTTTAACAACGTAACCTTACCTGATAACCCCATGCATCCCATCCTGGTGCACATAGCACGACCCTCAGTAGTACACCAGCACGTGTTGCACTCGTTCATCCAGACGGAGTCGGGGGCGCAGCGAAGCGTTGCCTCTGAGAATCAAATATTATTTATTTATTTATTACGAGCTGTTGCCCGCGACTTCGGCCGCGTGGTATTAGAAAACATACGAACTATTTAAATAAAAAGCTACGTAGCCCTCGGGAACGGGACATTTCTCGGGAATGAAGTTTATCCCATGTGTACTCCAGACTTTGTTTTATATCTGTGCCAAATTTCAATATGATATGTTGAACCGTTGCGAAATGATCGAGTAAACATTAAAAAACGAAATTAAGGAATCCTAAGGGAACCGTAACTATTCCCGGGATAAATAGTAGCCTATGTGTTCTTCCAGACTATGCCCTAAACCTGTGCCAAATTTCATGGATATCCGTTCAGCCGTTTAGACTATAAACTCTAACAAACATCCATCCATCCATCCATCAAAACTTTCGCATTTATAATATTAGTAGAGTAATAATAATACTTTATGTGACAATGTTTTTAGAGCACTTATTCTTATGAGTTTATATGGAGGTGCACACTACTCGATTTTTAAATTGTGCAACTAAACAGTTGAATTGCGAAACAATCGACAATCGCACAACAGTAGAGCGATTTTTTTTTCAAAGGTGTTCGCTTTTAGACAAGAGTGATTTCGCTGATGCCTATTTATCTATGCCAAACTTCGTCCAAATCCCATGATTTGGATCCTAGGATCCAGTTTCAGGGATGCATAATAACATCCATCTATTCTTTCGCATTTACAATATTAGTGTAAAGTATGTGATGGAAAGTTTGTTTTCAATAGTTACATAATCCAGCATTCGAAGTTCTATCTACCCTCTTACCGTTCTCCTGTCCGGGACACTTCATTTCAGTGCAGGAGGAATACCCCTCACTGGTGCAGTGACACTCGTTGCATTGGCTTGACCACTTCGACCCCGGCGAGCACTCCTTACCCGACAGTAATTCGGATTTCTTTGGAACTGGAATAGTGAACAATCAGGTTTTTAAATTTTTACATAGATGGCGCTGTTATCAAATATAAAAATTATGTTTCTACAAATGTTAAAGATATCTTGGTAATTATTGGTAACCAATTTTACCTACTAGTTGAGTAGAATTAATTTTATAAATATACTATTTCTCATTAAGTATATGAAAATTATGTAAGTTACTAGCGATCACCCGCGACTCCGTCCTCGTGGAATAAAAAGAAACAAAAGTAAGTAGCCTATGTGTTCTTCCAGACTGTGCTCAACATCTGAGCAAATTTCATCCAGATCTGTTCCCCCGTTTATGCTACAAACTCTAACAAACATCCATCCATCTAAACTTTCGCATTTATAATATGAGTAAGATTAAAATATCGTATAGGCGTCTAAGTAATAAGGGAAAGTTTTACTGCCTCACTCATACTTGTTAATGGTTACTTAAACAAAACTTGACAAGAAGATCACTCTCTTGTGCTATGTCCTTACTAAGGGATTCTCTTAGTGACTATTTGTAACTGCGGCGTTTTATTATAAAGAATCATCGATTGAAACAGTCTTAATGGTTCAGGAAGTGTAAAGAAATCGTCCCATAATAAGGCTGTATAATGAGCCTATTTTATTGTTATTGTAAATTTAATGGCCCATTGACTAAGCGGATAGCGTCAGAATTCAATACAGTCAGCACCAAATAAAAAAACTTCATTTATCTATTTCAATTGAAACTATAGATGTGTATAGGAACATGTCACTATAGTCTATCTTTTCTTAACATAATAAAACGGAAACACACACTACTTTGTTGCCTAAGATGTCAGCAATTACAACATATTTTTGAATATCCCTTTTTTTTTAATAAAAAGCCCTACATTTGCGTCACGCTTTAGGCTATATATTTTCACGCCATTGAACTTAGGGGGTGAATATTTTGGATAAAAACCCTAATGTGGGAAAGAGACCATAAGTTGCTACCAACATCAAGGAAGCAAGGTTTCATTTTGACATTTGTAATTGATAATTTGACAAATGTAAACAATAAAATAAAGATTTATAATTTCATGCGTGTGAAGCCGCACGGAAACAGCTAGTAGTTTTATATTTGCTTTTGATTTCTTAAAAGGGATAAAAGTAAGTAAGTAGTGCTTTTAGATAAGACGACTGATAGAGATGGAAAACATACTGTCCCGACCCTTCTCAGAAATAAGAGTAGGCAATTTCTGATTGCAATAACAATTTAACCTAAAAAGTTTTTATATGCTTCCTACAGTGGCGTTTACATGTGTTGTAATCACTGACCTCTATAAATGGACAGTTTATAAAATGTATGTCTAATAGTTCCGGTTAGTCGCTCTAACGTTTTCGTATGAGACTTAACTATAATTCTCAACAAAAAGCGCATTAAAGTCGGCACGACGCAAAAGTCATTTCCAAACAATCACCTATCTATTTATACATATCATTGTAGTACTTACTGTTTGACCGATTGCAAACGGCCTGTGTGCATTGCGCCTTGCCATTTGGCAGGCAAATACAGCTGCTGCAGTCCCTGCTGAATACTGTATGCGGCTTGCAGGGTATGGGATCCGCTGGGGAACAAATGATAACGTCACAAAACCATAAACACTATTTGTTATTCTCCTTATAATTAACCTCTTTCCTTCAAATATTGCAAGAGCGGAAATAAACAAAAGTAAGTAGCCTATGTGTTCTTTCAGACTATCCTCTACATCTATGCCAAATTTCATTGAGATCCCTTCAGCAGTTTAGGTTACAAACTCTAACATCCATCCATCCATCTAAACTTTCACATATATAATTATATAAGTATACTAAAATGACGTGGCCTATTCGTTTGCCTTGTAATAATTGTAGAATTGCTAGCAATACTTTTGCAACCATTGTGGTGTAACCAACATCCATTATACTAAAGTCGTTAGTTACCAGTTATACTGATGTCACATAACTCCTCCTTGGAGCACTCCGCGTTGCCATTGGAGAGACATCGACAGCTGTGGCAGTTGCTCTTCCATTCCGTGCCAGCCAAGCACTGCACCTCCACTGATGGATTTGCCTCTAACAAATCTGGCAGTTCTGCAAACCAAACATATTCTTTGCTCAGTAACAATAAGTCACGTGTGGTAAGATCGACCTTTTTTAGTCTTTAACAATTGCAATTAAAAAAATATAATTTTAATACATTAATAGTGAATTTATTTTTATGAAAACTGATATAAAAAATTTAAAAGCCATTCAGTAGTTTTTTTTTTATAATTACAAACAGACAAACGCATCTTGAGTCGTTTTATAATTCGGTAATTAAGAGACCATAAACAATGTCTATGACCTTCTCTAATTAAAAATGACCAAAGGCAATTTATTTTTAATCTGTCTCGTCTCTATTTAGTCTGTCTGTGGCATTGTAGATATTTCTGTCATGAGTTAGCGCGGTCTCCATTCGAACGATGAGAAATTACATGCTAATTATAGACTCTGTTTATCCTGTTTGCGTTTAATTGCCACTTTAAGATAAAATGGGAGCTATTTTTAAACGGTACAATTACGGAGTGGTTAGTAATGAGTTTATTTGACTCTTGTCATGTAACAGGGAATACGTTTTGCATGAAGCGAAACAAGAACTTTATTTTACACGAATCTTGCATCGATTTGGTTTGTTTTAACGGATTTTTAACAGCTAGAGTCATAAAAGCAATTCTGAAGTCCCGAGTATATTAAACATTTAAAAAAATAAACGAAGCTAAAAGTGTTTGTTTATTTTTTTGGAATATAATACAGATTATAAACATTAAATAAATACAATTGCATTTACACTACAAACTGTTCCAACTTTATAGTGTAACTTTCTGATATCGATACACT